AGGCGAGTGGAGCGGAGCGGAGTGGAGTGGCGTGTGGGTGTGGGGTGTGGGGTGTGGAGTGTGGATTGTGGATTAACCCTATTTGGGGCGATCATGTCCGAATACATGAGTCTTTTGCACCAGGTGAGGGATATCCCCTAGGCTGTGCTCCAACTCGAGATAACACGGAAGAGATCTAGACTCCAGCAAACAACCAAATCAAGCCGGAGGAAGAGCTGGTCCGATTTCCACAGGTACCCCCTGAACCACTGAACATGAGAGGAAACAGTTATGAACAAACCTGGGCACTTGAGTGTTGGAGTGATGGTTGGAGAAGCTGGGAGCACGTCACGCGAGCATTGGCGAGCGACTCAAAAAAGCTAGCTATCAGTTGCTTCAGCAGCGTAAGACACCGGCTGAGTTGCTTGCAAGATTACCCTTGCTGGCTGCAAATCAGACATCGGGGGGGTAAAGCGCTTGAATTTGAAAGTGGGCAACGACACCGAACAACAGTAGAAACAGCCTTACAACGGCTAGATTTGGCGAACCAAATATCCCGCAGCCCCATCCTAATATTGGATCATTGGTGTGCGATTGCTTTTCAGTGCGTTAGTGGATTCAAAGGCAGTCAAAGTTCTGGGGTGGTGCGGCCGATTCCCTCGGCGCCAAGCAAGGATGTCTGTCCCTGATAGGAGGGCAGAAAACCTAAAATTGTAGAGGAGTCTCCTGCAGGCCATGTGGGCCCTTAGCCGTTTCGCCGCTGGACGGTCGGCTCAATTTATGAAGAAGGTTCACAGGGGCCGCCCTATTTCGAGTTTGTGAATTGCAAGATCTGGCAACATCAATGGATGCTGCAATGGAAGTGGGGATTCGGATTGCATCGCCAATTTTCTCTGGATACCCAGGCTGCGGCCCCAATGGAATTCAACAAAATCCGACATGGAGCCCCCAAGGAACCTTCTTGGGCGTTCGATCTGCCCGAGGTCGCGATTACCTTGCGGACACATCGACCTGATGCGGCGGCCTCTGGCCCTCGCGAGTTTCACGAGGCTTCTCCGGCTGGCGATCTCGCATCTTCCTGAGCAGCCTGGCCAGAACAGCGGGGTGCTTCCATTGAGCTTAATTCCCCATACCATTGTTCAAAAAAGAAAAACGGCGAACTCGATGGTTGACTAGGTCCTCCGGAAAGAAGAACATTGAGCATGTTGCAATTCCAAAAACATGAATTGAGGAATCACCAAGCAAAGGACTCAGATTGGGGCATATTGGTAAAACACCAGCCAACCTCCCCCCGTCTTTCAAAAACCGGCCGATCATCCAAGTTGTGTAGTGGCTTTCCGTACAGTTAGCAGCGAGCTCCAGGCAGGAGTTGCAAAGAACTCTTCGGCTGAAACGTTGAGGGTCCAAAGACAGAGCTCCTTTGCCATTTGGGGTTGTCGACATACTGTGGATGGACAAAATCCTGCACCACCTAAGAAGCCCTGGAATGATGATTCCCTTGTAAATACCAACAAACAATGGTTTCCCATGGTGTCAAAGTGGTGCAGGATTTCGTCCATCCACAGTAGGAGGACTCTTGGCGGTGTTTCCCTTGGTGTCCCCTTCTCAAAACAACACATACCCAGTTCGGGAATCCTTATGGCTGTGGCTCAAAAAACCGGTATTCCAAAATGGGTTGCCCTGGTAAGTGGAAACATGGACCAAAACCTGCGGTTTGCCCCTCCTGTTCTACTTTGAGCCAGATCTGCACGCACTATCTGGCCGTCTTTCCCTAGCGGTTTTGGAGTGGAAGTCATCTTTGACAGGTGAGCACGTCAGAAATTGCCCACCACTAGCGTGGATGAGCAAACTGAAGCACTGGGATGGATAAAACTCTACTGGGATTAAACCTGCTAATGGGTGCCTGGCGGATTTCGTCAATCCACAGTATGCATCTACAACAATCAGTCCAAAGCCTTAAGTATCTTGTGTCACCGACATGGTGGAACTGCGTTGGCAAAGACTATGCCCTCACAAAAGTCTCCCAATGCAACATGGAAGTTCGAGAAAACCTGTGCAAAAGGAAAGTACTTCAAGTAGTTCGCCCAAAGCTTTGGGTTTGGGGGGTGTTGTCAAAAATATGGACCCTATTTTTCATCATTTGGAGAGACCTCGTCATCTCTTCAACCTTTTCAGGCCTACACGGGTAGAGGTCAGGAGCTGGATTCGATGGTCATAGGGTCTGAAGGGAACTCATGGTAAAAAAAACAGGGAGAAAAAAAACACCCTTCTTGCTAACCGACTGATGTCCGTGAATTGAACATCTTAGGGGATTGGAGATAGGGTATGAAGCAGTAAGTGACACTTGGGGCTCCCACATGTTCCTTCGTGAAAGTTACGCCCGGAGAGCTCAATCTTGATGTTCTATGCCCTTCAGGAATCTGCACTGAAGGTCTGAATACCTGTGTATATATGCATATACACACTGTACAAAGGGTACGCACATGAAACTTGCGGAAAAATGGGATTCATGGTAAAGTAGAGGGTGCGTCCAACATGAGGGACTCTTTTGTGGATGGTGTGCAAAGGGAAACCACACGGACTCATTTGAGGGGTGCCCCATTTTCAGAAAGAAGAACATACATCAGCCCCTCCCGCAGCCAGGCGGATTGGAGCCTCAACTGGCCCTCAACAGCTGCAGCCTCAACAAATATGTCCCTCCTCCGTTTTCATTGGGAGCAACATTGGCAGGCAGCGAAAGAACATGCGTCGGGACCTGTACCAGAGACCTGCGACCTGAGCCTGGCCACATGGACGCCTACCCACCAAAAAGCTCAGCGGCGGCGTTTGAGGGCGGGATCGTCCCCCATCCCACCGCCCGAGTCCCTGGTTTGACGAGTGTCCAACGCCAGCAGAATTCACAAGTCTTGTCCACACAAATTTGCGACTGCACCGGCATGGACACAAGTCAAAATCTGCAATAGAACACTCCAAAACATGGGCCGCCCAATGACCGACCTGGGACCCCGACCAATTTGACAAAATTGGGGGGGGGGGAGAGACTTCCATGTGAAGGCCAAAGAAAAGCCAAGTCTGGAGCCTCGCATCAAAAAAGAAGATCTCCCCAGCCCCTCATGTTAGTCGCATCCTTTCCTCCTTCCCCCGCCTCACGCGGGGCGGCTCCAGACCCAAGGCACTCAACCGCAAACGAGCAGCAAGCCTCAGTTGCTTGGAGTTGGATGGATTCGGGGATCGAGAAGATTTACCCCATCTGTTTCGTAAAAAATATTATATACGAGCGTAGACCCCACGCAGATTGGTAAGCAAGCCCGTCAACACCGAGCAAGCCAACAACAATCACGCTGCAAATGAGCAAGCCTGTTTCTCCTCACCCGAGAGCTACGTTTTAGCAAAATCAACGGGAGACAAATTAAAGGAACAGATTGGGGGCCAAGTAAACAAAGGTATGCGTCCATCGCGACATGGACTCATGATCGAAAGTGTTACATTGACTGAACCGATGGATCCGCGGAGGTCATATGGGAACCCGGGATTCAGAATCCGCAGCTCATCTTCGTATGGTGATTCCTGGTGGGAATCCTGACATTTTGAGGCAAAGGACACAAAACTGTTCATCCTGAGTTCCTAACACCTTTTCCCGGACTGGGCTCTCTTTCCCGCCTTCCGTGTGAAGTGAGCGATTCGTGCCATCCCAGAATGGTACGAATGGTCTCATTGGCTGCGCCTAACATCCCGCGTCACCAACTTAATGGGTGTCCCAACCCCGCCTCGAACGGATGCATCTGGGAACAACATTGCGACAAGTAATTCCCAAACCCGAACTAAGGGAACCCCTTGGTAAACAACCGTCATCATGGTGCGCCCCTCCCTTACTTCCAGCTGAACTGGTGAATGCTAGCTGTGGATTAAAATGCTAGTAACAGAACCCCCCCCTTACACTAGATCAACTCCTTGATGGGGAAGCCCTGCTCAGCACCATTCCCCGCTGTCCACCAAGTCCAGCCAAGCAACAGCTCCTCTTCAGAGCTGCGCTCCATGTCCATTGGCTGAGGGGGCTAGGCGCTGAGACTCCCTTTCTTCGACGGCTTGATCTCCAAACCGCGCAAGAGGCCCGCAAGAGACCCCTCCAGAAATCGACCCCCAAAAACCGCTCTTCCCGAAATGCTTTCGGCGAAGGCCTCAAGCATCTCAAGCCAAAAAGGCTTCAAAAAGATCTGGGGCATGCCTTCTCTACCCGAGTATAAACGTTTGGTAAATGTGGGTGGGGGCATATGGTACTTGCCAACCTGGCCCAGGACAACATATAAGTTGTTCTCCAAGATTGGAAATTTGGGCCCATCCCACCTAGCTTTTGCAGAATGGGTGGGTAAAAATGGGAATAGACAACCAGTAATTATCCAGCTATGCATTTCAGCAATAAACTGAATCTTCCTGGGATCGAATCTGTGACAAACCAGCTTTTCCGCATCCCGCTTTACATCCCCAGGGTCCATTTGGCAGGCGATGCGGTTTTTGACAGCTGACAAGGCGAAACACATCATGGGAAATCAATCTCCGACTAGGGATGTACGAAGAGATGTCAAAATAACTTCCAGGACCACGCAATGACTTTGATTGTTTCACATGTTCAAGAATCCAAGTACTGTCTATCCAAATGCATCCCTTCAGTCGGTGAAGGTGGAAAAGAAGCTGCAAAGGGCAGTCCTGATCTACAAAGCTATCATTCACTCACCTGGGGCGAAAAGGCCCACCACCAGCGAGCAACCCCCAGCCGCGATGCATCCAATGGGGTGACAAATATTTGCTGGGAACGCATGAAAGACATGTTTGCCACTGCAAGTAGTTGGCAACTCAGGGTTCCTTGCAACGGGGCCAAAGCAGGGCCAATGGCCCAACTGACCCAACTGCAAGCTTGCATCACATCTCAACCCGTGGTTCCTTGACAGCTTTTGCCTATCAGGAAAGACAAATGGTTACTTTGGCCCATGCCTGCGCCTGGAAAGCCACTCCGGGGTCGCGGCCTTTCAACTTTGCCTCCTGGTGCTGCTCGCCTCGGCCGATCTTTTGCCACGGATCGCCGCTTGCGAAAGGGAGGTGCAGCGAATTCACCCAGCCCCAGTAGTTACGGACGAGCGCGCGTGTGCCAATCCATGCTTTCCAGATCTTCACAGTTCAGAGAAAACAGCTCTACATCGGAAAGAGTCAGAGCCTGCTAGGCCCCAACGATTGCAGGTTGGTTTTAAAGACATCGATGGGTCGGGCCTGTGCGAAACGACCATACAACAGAAAGGGCTTCCCGAAGACAACACCCCCCATACAACCCTGGACCCGTTGCTCTACGGATTGCAAGAGCTAAGGCGAAAGGAATCCCTCCGAAACTGAAGAACTCCGCTTCAATGGGAGTCCCCATATTTATCCAACAAAGAGTTTGTTACTCATGGGTTCCCATTAAGCTGCGCAAGCAGAATCAGCCTGAGGAACCAAACAACCGCCAATTCCACGAGGAGTTTTTTTTATAAAAAAAATATTTACACATTCTGACTTGGTAGGAGCCAGCTACTGGAAACAAATGCCGGCAGGAAGTCAGCCAGGCAGCCACCAACTCGTTCAATGCTCACTGTACAATCTAGGCTTGACTGTCTTCCATCACCATTGAAGTAAGAAACGCGACGTACTAAACAGTGACATGGCCAAAGGCAAGGGCTTTAAGCCATCCGTTTAGCTGGTTCCGTAAACGCCACGCCCATCTGGCACCCATGTTTCTTTCGATTCCATGCGTTCCTCCCAATGATACCGCTTGTAAAAAAAAAAACAGGACAGCTCGGCGCCCCAACGCGAAACTGTCTGCGGGTGTTTTCAAATATGGCGCCTAAACTCAATTCCAGGAAATTGGAAGGTCGGCTGAGGGTCTAGTCTGTCCGAGAGCTGCCTGGGTCCGGCCGCATCGGCCTCTGCTAGCGGGAGCTTTAGGCAGCTATCCGTCGCAAGCTCTGTCACATCTGTCTGTCACAGGCTCTGTCGCAGTCATAGGTGTCCTTAGAGGGGAAAAAAAGGGTTTCCCTGGTAGATGAGAAAAAACCACCAGCTAAACCAGGGATCGTCATCTATTTTTCGAGCAAAACAACCAGAAAGGACACCTATGCTCGCAGCTGTCTGGCACAGGCTCTGTGGCGGGCGCGCAGGTCGTGGTTCGGATGTCAGGTACTGTACCCAACCAACCAACCTGTCGGGTAGGAAAACAGACTTGCCCGTGCGCACACACACACACACACATGTCGCTCGTTGCCGGGAGGCAAACAAGGCCTGCGTCCAGGGCTGCAATCTGATAGACGTAGTCCTCAGCCATCACCCGAACTAAATATGTTTGGCCCATAGGTGAGTTTCCCGAACCCTGTGGAAAGGGGCTTCAAGCCACGAAAAGGCAGGGCTTGTTCGCAAAGCTTCATCCTAAGTCTGTGATTCCAACCCTGTCCATGGTGAGCTGCAGAAATGCTTGGTGGAAGGGCAAAGGACCTTTTTCCAAACGGCCAATAGTCTTCAAAAGCGCCCGGTGCATGTCTATGCTTGTTGGCGAGCATTCCTTGGTTTCCTGCGAGCCTGACTTGGGAAAATCCACATGACTGATTGAGTGCAGCTACCCGTTCGCAAGCTGCGAGAAACTCACAGACTGACAGTTGCTGATTGCGCACTAATATAATAAATCCTTTCTGCTGGACGTGGAACGACGGGGTATCAACACCATGATTGACCGTATCCAGGTGCTTAGCTTCCTGTTGGCTTCGTTTTACGCCCATATTTGTCCATGACATCATGTGGGTCTGCATTTGACCTCCCTGAAGGAAGATGCTTGCAAAATTGCGTGCTTGCTCACGGGACAGACCCAGAAGTTGCCTTCAACATCTCTCCTGAGGTCTCTCCTGACAAAAGGGCAGCTCAAGATACCATGGGTCACGGAGTCAGCACAGGCAAAGCAGACCTCGTCGTGGCTTTGCTTGGGGAAAAGCAGGGCTATGCAACGTCCCTTTTGGTTTCATGGCGCCGGTGATGCTTCATGCAGGTCGGTCTCCCCCCCCGCATCCCTGCAAAGAGTTGCTCCTGTTTGCTACCTCGTGAGGAAAGAGTCATTTTGAAAAAGGTGAGCACATTAGAGATCGACCACAAATTCAGGGATCTATGACCGCCAGGCTTGGCCAAACCCTTGTTCAAACATATCTGAAACGCTGTCTAAGCGACCTCTCTGCCGGTGCCCCTTTGTCTTGCGAACAGGGCCGAATTCTTCGAATAATGGCACTGTCTCCCTTGGCCCTGGGGTTTGGGTGTGGCAATAGTCGTGTGGGTCTTGCTCGCAATTACCCTTCAAAGCCAGAGACTCACGCCCATCTGTTAAATCTCCGGACATCTTCAAATTTGTTTCTACGTGATCACGCTTTAAAGCACCCTTGTCTTTCTTCTTGAGGCCAACAAAAAACAAAAAACTCAAATTTGCAGGGATGCCAAATGAGGGAACCCGCAGTATGGGACGGTTTTTGTGCATGAAAGAAGGCAAAACACCACGTCCCGCGGGTGGCTATCGATCCACCCGCAAACCAACAGGTCAAAGTCTGCTTTTCGAGGCCCAAGAGAAATCAACAGAACCTGGCCAAACCCACCTCGCCGGAAGCCAAGCTTTGCTCCAAGTCATGTTGAAACACAGCGCCGACTGGCTGCGCTTGGAATGTGGATGTTTCAGCCCTGATCTTCCCTGAACTGTCCATTGACCAGCGACACCCTTAGATGCTGACATGTGTGCTGAAATGGGTGTGTCTCTCTATCTCTATCTCTCTGAGCGCGCTCACTTTGGGGTTGCTCCAAGGACCAATCAATAGTGAATCAACTCAATTGGCCCAACTCTTGGGCACAAAACGAAAAGTGCGCAGATTATACTTGGTCCATGTCTTAAAAATTATATGGAACAACAAGAATAGGCAACACATTATATATTGGTGGTACTGGTGCAAAAACAGGGCTTGACATATAGTAGCTTTGAAAAAAAAAAACGCCTTAAATTCACGATGATTCACTACAACCTGCATCAGACCTTGCCAGTCGCACACCAAAACCCTTTGCGAGGTTGCGAATCAACTTTACCCGGATCAGGACACCGAAAGAAGCCTTGGAGGAACCAAACCGATGACCTTTAAGGTGAATCTGAGTAGCTGAATGAGAAAAAGCTTGAGAGAGCTTTGCCATTCAAGTGCAATGTGAGAGACACAAGACAACAACTGATTACGAAGGAAAGCAAAGCAACAAACAGAAGGACTCAAGGAATTATTGAAGTAGCACCAACGCGTCAAAGCTGCCGGCGTAGGGTCGAACTGCCGCTTCTTCTCCTGGGTGAAAGCTGCTCGACGTCCGAAGGCACATGGATTGCTCACGCAGAGTTGGGATCCGAATCACAACGAGAGAACCACTTTCCCCCAACAGCTGGCTGAGATGTTTGGTGCTTTTGGGGCTTCCTAGGTGTATTGGAGATTTGTGTATTTGAGTGAGCCGCTGCATTTGCACATACTGGTGAGCAACTTTTCAGCAAACTCACACATGTCGGAATATGTTGGTTTGCCCTTTCATCTTTTCAAAAGTGAGCTTGATCTACAAAGCATCTACTGCACCTTTGCACTATGGAGTGATGTTATTTGCGTTGTATTGCAGTCGCATCTCTTCGTTCTTGTTGTACATCCCGTCTAGCCTGCCTTGTGGCACTTTTTGGCGCAGACACTCCTTTATTTACTGTGTTTGATCCTCTTCAAAGATGTGGCTGTAGCACGTTCTCTGTGCAGGTCGGTGGGTGTGTGTGTGTGTGTGTGTGTCCTCCTTTGTCCCTTTTGGACATGTGTTTGTAGTGTCCTTGTATTTGATGTCCCTTTTTCTTGTTCTCTGTCAGATTGTGCGGCATTGTTTCTGTGGATTGAGCTCCATTCTGCGGCCGGCTTTCTGTGCATGTCTGCTCTAGCGTCTGTTCGAACAACTGCCTTGACTTTTAAGTGCCGGACCGTATTTGCAAATGTCAAGGTCAAAAGAGGCGTGCGCAATATTTCAACTTTGACTGGTCACACTGCTGGCCAAGTTGTAAAGAGAGTTTGTGGAAAAGAGTGTCTGGGCTGAGAGCAAACGAGGAAACAATTTTTAAGGCAGCATACCGTTTGGCAAAATCAGACATGCGCAAACTTGACCGCAATCCAGCGGCCCGAAACATCGCATTTGGTAACAGGGATGAATGAGTCCTTCAGCAGTGGTGATTTTTCCCGTGGAAGGAGTCCAATCTCTGAGGCTTCCGTCTCAATTGAGTCACAATCAAAACCCGGTAGTAAGATGGTCGACCCAGACCTATGCAAAGAATTCAGAAGGCGGATATCCGCAGCTATTTATGGTTGGGATTGTCCCTTAGTAACCTTCATCTACCCGGGTTTTGATCGTGGCTCGAGTGGACTTTGCGTTTTCGAGCACTTCCCTCATGGACTTGCAAGACCAGGGATCTGTGCCGAGTGGAAAGTCTATGTCCGCTTGCGTCTGTGTGTGTGTGCGTGTGGTTGAATGTGGTCTGTGTTTGTCCGTGTGTTTGTCCGTGCATGTGCCCATGCCTTGTCTCTGTGGTCTGAGTCTCCAACCGTGTGCCTGTCTGCGTCGGTGTCTGTGTCCGTGTCTCTGTGTTTCATGTGGCCATGGTTCAAACCCAATGGTACCATTTTGGATTTTGGGGTGGGTGCACCAACCATTTTAGTCTATTTTAGTGGGGATTGGGATGTTCACCGGCGGTACGGGGGTTTCACCCCTGGCCATGTGTCTCTGTGTGGTGTCTCTCTTTTGCACCTCTCTGCCTCCCGCCTGCATCTGTGTCGGCAGTCTCCGCAATTGGTCCGTGCCAGGCGTCCGGTGCTGTGATTGTCCCATGGCTTTGGCTCAAAACACCGGGATTCCAAAATGGGTTGCCCTGGTAAGTGGAAATTTGGACCAACACCTGCGGGTTGCCCCTCCTGTTTTATTTGGAGCCACACCCAAATCGGTGGATTTGACTTTGCCTTTCCCATTGATTTCCCTTTCGAACCAGGGCACCCAAGCACGCCCTCACTTCCGGAGTGAATTGGCCACACAAAGTCTGAACTTTTTCTTTACAAAGAAAGGGTCAAATCAAACATGTGCCCCTTGGACTGTGACTGGCCAGAAAAAGTCCAAACTTGTTGTTTACCCCTACAATGGTCTTTCCAAAAAGTTGAGAAAGTCCAACTCAGGGAGTGAATGCCAGACACGTATGCCTGCTTTCACTGCTCCTTGTGCTTCAAACACCACTCTGCAAAAAAGAGCAACTGAAATAAACCTGGCCCAAAAGCTGATGGGTACACCACCGAAAGGGGAGGTACCAGGATTCATGTTTCTCTCCCAAGCAAAAGAACTATGATTGATGATGACTCAGATTTATTCAACCTGAATCTATCAAGGAATAATGTCAAGATGTCAAAGATCTGCCAGGTTTGTATGTCACAAAGCTTTCAGTTGCTACTATAGGACATAACCAGGGTTCTTTACCTCTGGGTTTTACATGATTTCCCCTAGTTTCCTACTATAGCGGCATCTGGAAGGGCTGGGAGGCTTGTCTGTCTTTGTCTGTGTTTTCAGTGGGTACGCGTTCCCTCAACTGATGCGTTCTTTGGGTTTGCAAAAAAAGGTACCCTCAAAAGCCACCCACCCATGCTTCTGTCTGTGCGGCGCCTTCACCAAAGTGCTTTCCAGCGAGGCTGGGAAGACGCGGTACCTGCACAGAGTTTTTGAGCGAAGCACTCGCAACGAAGAGGCCGAACGGTTTTGCGTATTATTCTTGTGGATACCCTTTCTTGACACTTACCCAAACTCTTTAAGAAGGAGTTTTCGTTTGGCAAGTTTTGGTTGGAGATCCCGCATTCGAATGAATAGCAACCTTTCAGGGAATAAGGTCGCAATGAGATGCGTTCTGCTAGATCCGCATTTCAGAGGACTTGTCCCTTTTGAGAAAATGTAAGTTGTGGCACATCCAGTGGGCTTGAAAAACTAATCAACACTGCAGCATTAGTAAGCCAAATGCAGATACAACTCCAGCCACATCTAGTGGCTCAAATTATTCAAGTTGCAGCTCGCAAACGCTTGACATGCCAAACAAACACTGCTTGTAAACGGCAGAGACTGACTTACATCGCCTTGTCACTTTCTAGCCCTTCCCGCAACAACGTGGCGTTTCAACAACCCCAAAGTAAAGTTTTGAAATCCGCTGGGCTCCACTATTCAAGAAGCATACTAATTCAAGTTACAACTCAAATACAACATCAATAAGGAAGCTTCAGCAATACTAAGTCAAATGCAAACTCAAATCCAATCTCAAAAAGAAAGCTCCAGCAACACTAAATCAAACGGGGGAAAAAAAAAACAGCAATGCCAAATCAAACGGGTACGTAGATCGTCGTCTCAAAACCAGCAACACTGAATCAGCTGAAAACTTAAATCCAGCAAAACTAACATTGAAATTGGATCAACAGTTTAAAAAGAAGCTCCAGCAATACTAAATCAAATGGAAACAGCAGAAAAGCAAGTACGTAGATCGCCGTCTCAAAACCAGCAACACTGAATCAGCTGGAAACTCAAATCCAGCAAGACTAAAAAAATGAATTAGATCTTTCAAAAAGAAGCTCCAGCAATACTAAGTCAAATGGAAACCAAAAACAGCAATGCCAAATCAAACGGGTAGGTAGATCGTCGTCTCAAAACCAGCCACGCTGAATCAGCTGGAAACTCAAATCCAGGAAGACTAAAATTGAAACTAGATCAACAGTTTAAAAAGAAGATCCAGCAATACTAAATCAAATGGAAACAACAGAAAAGCAAGTACGTAGATCGCCGTCTCAAAACCAGCAACACTGAATCAGCTGGAAACTCAAATCCAGGAAGACTAAAATTGAAACTAGATCAACGTTTCAAAAAGAAGCTCTAGCAATTCTAAATCAAATGAAAACTCAAATTAGATCCGAGCAAGACAATGCATTTTTCTTCATTTGGCCGGGATAGGCCTTTGTTGTTGGGGGCGTTGAATACATGTGCGCCAGGCGCTGAACATTTTTACGCGTCTACGACACACAGTCGGGGCACTCCATGAGCCCCACGTCCTCCACAACAAGGCCACCTGACTCAAAAAAACGCTCCGCGCCCATCTTCGTTTCGGGAATCGGCAGACTTACACACCCTCAGACAACACGGCTGGTCCTTTTGCGATGTTGTGGCTCCTTTTTCTTTTTGGAGTTTGGCAAACTTCCCACAAGAACCCTTCACGAGGCCGTATTGGTCGTTGGGTTAGAAGGCAACACATACTTTAACTCTAATTAGTGGGCCCCGGTGTTGACACAAACCATTTTTGTGTGATGAGGTGACCCGTTGAGTGCGACCTTATTTATAAGTATCGACGGCGCCCACTTGACGACAAGATCACGATCATATGCCAGATCGTTCCTTGCAGTGGCTATGTGTGGGACACATGGTTTTCAACAAATCGCCCGAACCCCTCGCGGAGACTCCGAAATTAACCTGCTTGGGGATACGCCCACCCCCCAGGCCACCAATGTGGCTACTATGAAAGGATCGCATTCGGAGGAAAACTGCCTCCCTGGACCTCCAAGTGGATGGGAGAGGTAGTCCTTTTTGGGTCCTCAATTTGCACTCGCCCTGCAAATTGGAAGGAGAATTGGCAAGAACACGAATCTTGCTTTTCTATGGCCCTACAGGTTGCATTCCTCTTGGGGGGGTGCTATGGACACTTAGAGACTTAGAGTTTATGTGCAAACCACCCTGAAAACAAATGGCTGTGGCTCAAAAACATGTACCAAAACGGCACCTCGGTAAATGGAACCAAAGACCAAAACCTGCGTGACCCTTGCTATTTTACTTGGAGCCACATCCAAATAGAGCAAAGACGTTGCTAAAAAAATGACGAGTGTCCACCACACCTGCTGCCAAAGCCCTGACTCCGGCCACGTCACGGCTCCCGTCCCTGGTTCTCCTGGCCAAAAGCCTGAGCCTGGAAAAACCATTGCGTTGGTTGTCGAGGGACCCCGAAATTCAGCTCACTTCCTGAATGGCTTGGTAAACAAACAAACAAAATGCTGTTGATTTGCCACTAAATGGGTCCTTCAGCAAAAGTTAAAAGTCCGGGAACTCAGGAAGTGAGCGAATGGTGGTGTCTCTTTCAGTTTCCCTTTAAGCCATTAATAGACAGGCCGCCCTTCCTCGAAAGCGACGTCGCTCGAACTGCGAGCCGATTGGCGATCCATTCGCCGGGGAACAATTGTGGAGCGCCACCTGCCGGTTTCGAGCATAGCGCTGCCGCAACGCCAGGAAGACCTGCCAAGGGGTCAACAACAAATCGAGGTTGATCAAAAGACTCGAGAAACATAGGATGACCATTGGTTGGAAAGTCACTAAAAAGATGAAGCTCCCATGGACAAAGCTACCCATAGTCATTTGGGGCCCAACGGAATATTGATCAACTTCGACATGGCGCTGTTGCCTTGTTGAAGGATCCTTTCCAGCCAAGCCCACCGTGCAGCCCAGCCAAACCGGTCAAAAACACTCACTTTGCGCAAGAAAAACAAACCCCGCGCGAGCGAGCGAGCGCCGTGCCCTGACCTCGGCCTCTGGCTCGAAGAGCCAAGCGCTGAAGTTCCTCAAAAGATGCAGGACGAAAGCGGAAATCGAAAGGCGGAAGGTGCAAACACCCTCGCAAACCCAGGGGGGCCGAGGGTACAGCAAAAGAACAAAAAATCGGATTTTCTGTTTCATATTGAGTCACGCTGAATATTCAAACGAACCCCGGAAGGAAACAAACACATAACGGCCTCTAGAGGAATGGCGCTCACCTTGTAGAAAGGGGTTTTGGCGAGCGCAGGCTTTGCCCCAGCCAGTTGGAAAAGGTAGACGAATCTCTACGCCCAGCGTGCCAAGGAGCTCATGGACAGAAAAGCTGTTGAACCTCGGGTGACTATGTAACCATCGGGAATCCAAAGTGGACATGGACCAAAACCAAGGATCAAGTAAATATCCCCAACACCACCAAGGGAATCACATTTGACCTGTCAAATGTATATGACGGAAGCCGACCCCTGCTCGCTGACCAGCACCGAGGCTGTGATTTTGGGCCCACGCTGGCATGTCATTGGACTCACTTTGGCCCGCGAGGCAAAAACATGTTCTCAAAAAAGCACGCGCCTACTAAGTTTCAATTACCCAGATCTTGGTTCGGATCGATTGAGACAACATTAAAACGGAGCACACAAGCACTGCAGTCCGGGCGGGAATGTCTCGGCCGCTCGCAAATCCGAAGTGGTCCCATCTTCTGTCCCATCTTCTGTCCCTTTCATGTAGGGCGGGTGTCAAGTCCAAAGCTATGCATTCTTGCCCGATAAAGTCCGCGGTTTCCCAGTGGCGCCTTCCATTTTGCCCTTGTTGGACCGTCGGTTTCCTCGTCAAACCAAACAAGACAGCGTCGGAAAAGCACGGACCATCATGGACTCAACCCTTTCGCATCATGAGTTCCAGCGGATTTTTTTGGCCAAGCCACCTGTAGTTGATGAGGAAGTAGGAGTTGGAGTTCCAGACCTTTCGGGGGAGGTCTGGGAATCGGGCCCCCAGACACGATTCCCAGACCTGGGCACATCACCCTGCTCTCCCCAAGCTCCATGTTAGCCGCTCATCATTCTGCATCATTTGGCTTCCCTTGGCCATGCAATTGCCTGGCCTGGTCTCTGAGAAACCAGGCACTTTCTCCGACGTGACCCAATTGACCGCTTCAAGCTTTAGGTCCTCAAAACCAGATGTCCAAAGCACATGGGGCTAGAGATGGAACTGATCTGGAAGGTCCTGGCTTTCCATACTAACTTGCAAAAACTAACCTGAGAAGGCACACGAGCTTCATGCGCGAGAAATCCTTCTGGGCCAAGCAGCCCCGTCGTTGGCGCCGATGTCCCAGACACAGCCACCCTCCGGGAGTGCGAGGCCTTTACCTGCACGGGGGTCAAATCGGTCTGTGGCTCACCGAAGTGGACTGGCCAGAAAGCGTCCACACGTTTTTTGCTAGTCTTTGTAAGACCATGAGCGCCAAGCCCAGGCCCATAAACGCGGACAAACCTGACAAAAATACATGACCTGAAAAAATCATGACCCTCATAGGTGTCCACACTGTCTTGCTTACCGTGAAAATTGCCTTTCCCAGAATGTTTAAAGTGCAACTCAGGGAGTGGAGTGAGGTGGGACATTTCGTGCCCCACTGCCTCCTCCTAAGATGAAATAGACGAGCGCATATATTTACCGCACCAGTTTACCATTTGCTGGTAGCTTACTTGCCCAAATGGGAAATGAAGGACACCTTGGTGCTGGATCTGCAAGGGAACCACCATGTCTCTCAGCACACGGCTCACTTCACCCAGCAAACTGTTGGTGATGCACGTCTTAGGATGGTAGCGCTCCAGTTGCCTGAGCCGCCTTGCAGTAGAGAGCCTCATACTCTTGCGTTTTGCTGGCCATGAGGTGCATGCATGAGCTTCTGATCCCGTTCTTGCCTCGGCGCCAAGTCGATCAATGACTGGCCAGTCACTTTGCAATGGGAAACCTGGCTCACGGCCAAGAAAATGGAGCTGGTCCCCTGCTTTCCCACCTCAAATCATTGGCACGGGCGTGGGCGTACTTGGCAAGATGGCGCCTCATCGAGATCGAGAACCTGGTCTGTCTCCATAAGAATTCGCCGTCGACCTTCAGCGCATTCTTGGCATACTTATACTTACAACAGTTGTTCCATGCATTTGTGAGGATCTGAAGCCATGATCCAGCATTCCATCTAGAGAACCCAGCCCACAAACTTTAGAAGTAAAAAAATGGGGCCACATAATGGCCGGGCAAGCTCTACACAAGAAGTGGATCTGAATTGGTATTCAAAATAATTTGATGGACACCATTTGCATGTGCTTGTCCACCAACCAGTCTTGAGGGTGTTCACACCTAAAACTAAAACATCCCAAACATGTTTGACCGGATTTGTGGAACTATTTTGATGCGGGGAGGGTGTCTGGAAAAGAGTGCGTATCCCTCCTTGTGATTTTCTTCATGAACAACTTTGCTCAACAGCGAGTACTGAGGGATGCCGAAGTCCAACCCAGCCAAGCGAGAACAAACGAAACTGGCTCTTGTCTGTGTCTTTACTCAGCGCAAAGCCACTTCCTTTCATTTGAATATTTAGGTACCCTCGCATCCAGACTCGCGGCGCCCTGCTAATCGTACGCTGCTTGTTTGAGGGAACCTGTATTCGGACCATCATTCTTCTATTTGCTTGGGCTATCAAACCAAAGAATGCTGCCAATGCCATGGAATCTTCCTGTTGACGCGGGGTTCACTGTAAGTCGAATGCTGCTTTATGATGTAATGTCACCACGTGTGGATGAACCACGAAAGACGATGAACCCATTGGCGTTCTTCATAGGGCTAGAAGCTGAGAACGTTTACAAGCAAATCCGGAGCACCACACTAACCAAGAGGTGGTTCCCATTTTGAGACATGAAAATCATGTTAGGGTATGTTCGGATCTCCTGGCAAACATCCGAGGCATTGACATAATTTCTGCCCGCGAAACCTCCCGCGGAGGGCAGACCGCGCCTTCTAGCTGAACGTACAACTGCCCCTCTGAGAGGTCCTGGGCGTGGCCGAAGAATGCGGGCAGCTGGTGGATTGCGTGCATGTGACAGGAGAATGCGCATGTACATGTATACATTACATGTGAGTCTGTATTTATGTATTCACGAATACTTGTGTGTCCCTATCTGGGCATGTGCCCGTGTTCTATGATACGTACATATACGTACATATAGAGATGCAATGCGTGTGAAATCTATGTATGTATGTATGTATGTATGTATGTATGTATGTATGTATGTATGTATGTATGTATGTATGTATGTATGTATGTATGTAGGTAGGTATGTAGGTATGTAGGTATGTAGGTATGTAGGTATGTAGGTATGTAGGTATGTAGGTATGTAGGTATGTAGGTATGTACGTACGTACGTACGTACGTATGTATGTATGTATGTGTGTGTGTGTGCATGTGTTTATGTGTGTATGCGTTAATATCCGTGATGGAGGAATGTAAGAAGTGCAATGTAATGTAATTTATCGTAACGTAATGTAATGTAATGCATGTATGCATGTATGTATGCATGTATATAGATATGAAGGTATGTATGTAGGTATAGAGCTGGAAGATCTCTTTACAGGGCGGCATCCTGCCAGTGGTCGTTTTCGCGACGCAGTCCAGCTCTACAACGCAGCAGTGTCCTTTCTGTCTGCCCACTTTTGGTAATATCTGCCTAAAATGACTTGACCCCCCGTACAGAAGCAGCAAGCGCGGGTTGCGTTTCTATCTTTTTTTCAAATCGTGCCCCCCGCCTGGAATACTTAGGTTTTCGTCCAGACATTAACATGTTTGCTGTAAACATGCATGTGAACTGCAGCTTTCAGATTCTAAAAATGATGCTCAAAAACGCACTCTGTTTAGACCTACATTGTAGCATCAGGACTTAGGCAATCCAGGATGTGCTGGCACGTGCTAGCATATCCTGGATTGACGATTGAAGATTGAAGATTATCTGACAACTCTTGCTGAGATTCTTCACACGTATACTTAGGGAAATCCAGGATGTGCTAGCATGTGCTAGCACATCCTGGATTGAAGATTGAAGATTATCTCGCAACTCTTTCTGGGATTCTTCAATCTTCAATCTTCAATCAAGGATGTGCTAGCACGTGCTAGCACATATCAGTTTGACCTAAGTATGGATTTGAAGATTTCCAGAAAAGTGGTCCGATAATCTTCAATCTTCAATCTCAAGAGTTGTCAAAGAACCCTCAATCCTCAATCGCCAATCCAGGATGTGAAAGCAGATCCTGGATTGCCCAAGTATGGAGTCTGACAAGGCGGAAAAGCAGAGCACGTTCCAACAGTCAAACTGTGGATGTGCACCGCCTGCATTTTGCCAATAGGGAAGCATGTGTTTGAATTGTTTACAGCTATTGTGGGACTTGAGGGCTGGCTAGGATGCGTGATTCTCAAAAAACAACGTCTGAGATCTTCAATATTCAATGCAGGTGGGAAAACCTTAAAGAGTCTAGAAAAACTGTCAAGCTTTTCGGGGGCCGGGATTGAGGATATTCTAAAACGATGCCTGTGAAATCTTGAATAGTTGGCCTTCGATCCAGGGCAACATGATCTGAGTGAATGCTGAAAACACGACGTGTTACATCATTTTATGCCAAAAATGTTTGAAAACACGTTTCTGTTATTGGCTCAGTTCTTGCTTGATTCTTGATTAAAACCACATGGAGTTAGATAAGGACTAGGACAATGACCCTTATGAATTTTCTCTTGATGCCAGTTTTTGTTGACCATGACAATAGCTGTATTCTCCAATTGACTTTTGAAACGCATCAGAAACTGCAACCAGTTAAAGCTCATAATTTGGATTGAACCCGGACTCATTCTAATTTTCATATTATTCCTATGCTTGAATTTCAATCGTTGTCTTTCACAGTAGTTGAATCGCATAGACAAGTAACGCACAGCTGAGATCGTGGCTTTGCGAGTTGGAATGAATTACACTTAGTTAGAACGCAAATGGAATGATGTACAAACAACGCACTAACATGTAAATGCACCTGCGCAAGGACATGAAGCACTGGTATGTTTGATTTGGATGTCAGTTGCACGTAGGATTGAGTTCTTTTCCCCCAAGTGGGTGATTTGCCGAGTTTCCTTGTAAAACAGAAATAATAAGCCAAACAGCTGTTACAGCCACGATAAAGCTGCCAAAGCATGCTTCGCGTACTACTCTTGTGCTGACAGTTGCTGGGGCTGCCAAAGTGCACTTCGCAGACTCCAGCGTGACTTTAAACGCCCTTCGCGTTCGAGCTGTTTAACTAGGAGCTCCTTTTGAACGTTGAGCATAACTTCTGCTTGGTTTGACTTTGCATGGAGTTGCACCTCCTGTCAGCTCAGTTCAGAGACCCCCAGTCTGGCCAAAAACTTGAGTTCTCGACGAAAACCTGAGTATTTCAAGGGGGCGTAGCATGTATATATATATATGTATATATATATATATATGTGTGCGTTTACATGCACACAAGGATCTATATTTGTGAAACATGCTCGACAGCTGCCAAAGAAAACAAAGGGACACACGCATGTCGGGGCGGCGGCTAAATATTCATATATCCAATTCAATCACAGCGCAAATGCAACGATATTGCAAAATGCCACGTGGGATGGCATGTATCATGCTTCCAAACTGCAAGATCTATGGATCTTTGGCACAATCCAAAGTTCCAGAAATAGAAATTGTGGTCATGGTTGGATTGCCATGGCTAGCAAGACTCTTTAAACTTGCTACATGTGAGTCAACGCCCAAACTTCCCATGCTTTGCTTTCATTAATCCAGGGGGGATTGGTGTGTGCTGATCCTCCCTCATGCAATCCAGTCGATCTGGGACTTGTTTGACCCACGTGCTTCACGGATTGCCTGGTCCCACTCTAGGTCCTCCAGTAGAGAGGTTAGAATAAGGGTACCCTTTTTTCTGTGCTCTGTTTTCTGTACTCTATTTTAGTAGGGGAACCCTCCCCCAAAAAAAGGGTAAAAGGGCACTACTGGGGGGACCTAGCACTTTATCTGACAACCTTCAAAATGGAGATTGTCATATTTTCCCTTGCTTTTCCTCGCGCCTTCTGTTTCGCTCCTCTCACTCGTCTATTCCCTCTTTGCTTCTCATCTTCGGCCTGTTTACCTCGATCACTCGCTGGTCACGTCTGGACTCGCCTTTCAATGGCGGCTGCGACAAGAGAGTGATTGTGAGTGAAGATATAGACAGGGACGAGGAACTGTTCGACAAAAGAGGGGCCCTCTCCCACCCCGCTATACCTTCTCGAATCAATTGCATTTGGATTGCATGACGGGTGAACGGTGGGGGGTTCAACCATTGCTTCGCGTGTCGGCTTGGTCCTTTTGTGTTCTGGCGGGTGTGTGACAAACCTGGCATCCCAACAACTATCGATTCATGCAGCGAGGAGTCTGTTGCTGATGCTCGACCCTTGAGGGATGTGTGTTCGATAGTCGTTACTTGGGTCATTGCTGAGAGAAGTAACTTTGAGATCCTGTGCATTTTCCCTGCACCAGGAAGTGGACAAGTAGCCTGTCGCATGCTTTCAAACCTCGGCCGATTGTTCGAGATGGGAAAAGGTGCATTGTTGAGAGTGCCACTCGAATGAGGCTTCCTGTATTTTCTCTGTTGGTGGGATCCTCTCCCAGTTTTTTTAACAACAAATGACCACTCAAGTGCTGTCGAAAGTTGAGGTTGGAGTGGCTCGGTGGTCCTGATGTCGTGCTGAATTTGCACAAAACTGATGACTAAATGGACATTCAAGCTCGGTCGTTGTTGCACCCTCCCGAGAGCCTCTCTAGTTGTATGATACCCAGAGTAGTTGTTCTTTTTTTGGGGCCCACCGATCTCAAGCCGACGAGAAGCGGAGAAGACAGCCGGCGCAAGGAGGTGGTTCCACTTGATGAACCCGGTGCGAATAAATTTGAACCTCAGCTCACCATTTCGCAAAGTGATTCCATTTCCCTGCGGGGGACATTAATCAAAGCAGAATCTTCCATAGAAACAGCTACGTAATCGAGCTGCTCGCTTCTGTTCCACTTCGTGCCATGATAGGTTTGCACGCAACCTGTCCCGTTGGCTTGGTCAGTTACGGGGGTGAAACGGAGTCCTTTACTGCTGCGGGGCTGAAGCAACAAGCGCGCTTTTGGAGTGCACGCTCAGGCCGAAATGTCCAAGGCATTTGGCTGTGGTGGTCAAAACCCAGAAAACCCCTGGTGAACATCAAAGGTGGCAAATGGATGTTCCTCCACCCCAAAATGGAGCCATAGGTTATGTCCCAGGCCATTTGGCACAATAAATTTGCCTGCAGCTCGATCTGCAAGGTGATCCGAAAGAGAGGACATCTTCAGCTGTCATGGCGCGGCATGGTCAAAGCTGCTTGGGTGGTTATAGTCATGACCCCCATGTTTTAAAAAGAGTACCCAGTACCCACTACACCCAGAACCAGCAGGCATAATCCGCTCTTATTATTAATGAATGACCCCAATTAATAAAAAATCGAAATCCGGGGCCCGGGACCAGACTTCCACTCCGCACAATTGTTTTTTTAATTGAGCCAATACAAAACCCTTTCCAAAGTCTTGGAATCCTTATTAGGGGGCACTCTTAGCAAGTCTGGCATGTGCCCCAAAAGTCTTTTTTGGGGGGGTCCTTTAATTATTGGGGTGTCCCTCAAAAGAAAACATGTCCCCAAAAGCTGTCTAGCTTTAACTGTCTCTCTCCCATACATGCTGGCTAATTAATTACCTACCCTGCCTGGCTGCAAGCAAACAACCAGTAAACTGAAAAACAAATACAATGATACATAAAATGTCCTTATTGAACCGCTTACTCGCGGACCTTACAATTCAATCCATTTCCTCCAAATCCTATGTGAACCCTCACATTGTTGGAAAAGCAAAAACACACAATTCCGAAAACCCCAATTAAAAACAAATATTTCTTTGGGAGGATTTTTTAAATAATTGGGGGGGGACCCGTATTTATTAATAGGGGGAAGGGATTAGATAGAAAGGCCTAATTTGCTCGTTTTGCCTCGAAATGGTGAGCTTGTCGGAATTTGCCAGATACCGCGCGGTTTTGCTGATCGTTTGCTTGGGTTGAAATCCACAAGAGTATCACCTTCCAGCTGCTGCAGCGCAAACCGCCACCGACAAACTCCGCGGTTTGCTTGGGCATATCAAAACAAAGATTCTAGATCCGAATCTTTCTGCAACACCTCCAGAATCCCGAAAAAAACGGGTCCGGTTCTTGAAAAGAACGATGGGTTGAAAAGAACGGACAAGGAATCAAGCCCTAGAAACATGGCGCGTCAAATTTTTGCGGGGCTCGGATTCAAAGGCTTTTCCTGAGACCCTCAGGTTGAGGAAGTCAAGTTGCACAGCAATTATTCTCGGGACGTTGACTCACTTGCCCACAGAAAAAAGCAGGGAGTAAAAGGTGATCATTGGGGACCCGTTGACTCACTTGCCCAGTAAAAGGTGATCATTGGGGATCCAACAAGTAAAACAAAAAGACAGAAAACTCTGGGCAACTCAGTCAAGGTCGCCCATTCTGCTGACTGCTTCCAGGGGTTGTCAACATCAACTGCATGAATTTTAGGTAACGTCCTGAGTGGAGCCCAAACAAGTCCAAACTCTTTGCCCCCTGAATGATCTCTCAAAAAAGCCTTGTCCGGAAGCTGACGTGGCCTCGGAAGCCAACGGCTTCTCTCAGCAAACAAAGGACTGGGGAAGAACCGGAGTGAATTGCCAAATAGCCAACTCCTATTTGCCAAATAGCCGAATATCCGCAAGTACGCTTGTTCCGAGATAGTCTACGAATTGGAGTACTAGCGCTATGCGTGAAAAGCAGCTGCGTCAGGCACTGCCAAAGCAGGAAGACCAAGAACGCCAGGCCAATCGCCAAAAGCTGCGCCACACGAGCCTGAGGCCACACGGGAGTCATCGGGAGTCCCAGTTCCAGGTATAACCAAACCTCTGATAGGGTTTGCAAAGCAGGTATGATCTTGAACCCGCGACTTGGGAACAAGTCTCCCTTTCAAAACCCCCAAGGAAACAAAGGCCAAACACGGAGACAAGCGACGAGGATAAACAAGTTCATGCGGGAAACAATCAACATGATGAGACATTGCGTCCCGGTCTCGCAGGCATATTCCCTTCTGACAATACGTAAGTCGTGACTGATTCAAGGTTCTCAAGGATTTTGTCGCCGTTCCACCCCAAACCTAGGAGCCTACTATCTTTCACCATTATTTGCGCACTGGTCAGAAATGCACCGTCATTTTGCAATGGTTGAGTAAAGAAGCTGCCTTGGGTGCGGAAAGCCGGATTCCTATTTGCCGCCCTGCCCCGCGCTTCAGGAGAAAAAGCAGGATGATGTGATTCTCCCAAAACTGGGCAAAGAGCCAACTCTAGCGGGCGGCACTGCTTGATATTGCCTTGGGAGTGTCTGGTAGAGCGTTCGAAGTTCAATTAACTTCGAGATACACACACCAGACACATTCAAGACAACAATGTCCAACCCGGTTGGAAACAACGAACAAACATTGAACAAAACACAACACACACACACACACACACAGACCAAACAACACGCAACAAACAATACCCCAAACAAACAACACACTACACACTTCACACTACACACCAAACACACACATATCCCTGTTCGCTGCCCTGAAAGAACCTGGTCCCGACGTTCGCCGCTTCCATTCGGCCCAGGCGCGCTTCGGGCAAAAAGTAGACCGTCTCCTTGGCGAATCGATTGGCAAAATGTTCGACGTTGGGCCGCCCCTTCTTTTGGGCTAATCCCGGTTCTCCTCAACCATTTGAACATTTCGGGGTTCTGGGGAGCTATGAGTCTACCCCTTAACATCCAAAGGCTTGGGAGATACCCCCGGTAGCTCTTGGACAACCTAACAGGAATCCATGGTGCAAGCGTTTTGAGACCTATCCATACAGCTGAAACCCCACGTGCGCCACTCAAGAAATTGCTTAAAACTATGCAAACCATCAACCCATCTCCAACCGAAGCAACTTTTGATGGACCATCTAGTGAACCTCAAGTTGTAAAAGCAACAAATCAAACAGACCAAAACACGCAAACACACTCGCGCACACACACACAACACGATCGAGCGAGCGAGCCAGCCAGCCAGCCAGCCAGCCAGCCAGCAAGCAAGCAAGCAAGCAAGCAAGCAAGCGCACAACCACACAACCACACAACCGCACAAGCATAAATAACCAACCAACAACCAACCAACCAACCAACGAACCAACTAACCAACTAACCAACCAACCAACCAACCGACCGACCAAACAAACAAACAAACAAGCAAGCAAGCAAGCAAGCAAAGAAAGCAAGCGAGCAAGCAAGCAAAACAACAAGCCAGCTAGCCCGCTAGCCGAACAAACAGTCCATACAAAGATACAAAGCAAACAAACACAACAAGCCAGACACATACCTACAAAGCAACAAACAGCCACACACACACACACATGACACATCACATATCACACATCGCACATCACACATCGCGCAAACAAAAGCTACAAAACCACAACGCACACAACCCCGCACAAATCAGACAGAGGCGGACACGGACATCCCCCAAAGGCCTTGGCAAACACCCACCCCGAATCACTTTGCCTTCAGTCCTCATAAGGATCATCCAGCCCTGAAACATAAAAAGGATGATTTGCGTGCTTTGTCCCTACAGGCCTCCCGACATGTCCTCTCCCGACATTTCCCCCTTACACATCACCCCCTTTAATTGGAAGCTCACCTTAACTCAGTTGCTTTCTGCTCCCCTGCTAAAAGTTTAACTTTTAGTGGTTTAATACGGAAAACAAATTAGTTGGCAAAAAGTTATTCAGTCCTAACATCCCTTGGCAAAATGCACCCAAACAAAGGTGATGCTTGTAAGCGACCCAAAAGGTGCGAGACCTGGGCGAGACCTTGGGGGCCGCATCCAAGGCACGCCAGCTGCGCGGGTGGTCCTTCATGGACCATGGCTCGACCCGAGGCCCGGGAGTTTTAATTAGGCGCCCGGGGCCTGGGGCCTATGGGGCCCTTGAAGTGGGTAGATGGGGGACGGACGATTGAGGAGCCGTGATCATTGGCCTTTTGGAAAAATAGATGGGTTCCCCTGGTAAATGGAACAAGACCCATCTAAACCAGTGCCTTCTATTTTTAACCACGCTCACCTAAAAAGGACACCTATGGTAGTGATGTAAATGAGTGTTGCGGTGCTTGGTGGGTGTCCCCTTGAAAGGTGGCTTAAGGTTCAAAAACACAAAAACAAGTCGTTTTCTGAGGGGCGTCTCAGTTTGAGACATACTGAACTTTGTGTGAAGGTAGTCATTTTGACAAGATGGCATTTAAACTAGCTGAAACCTAAGAACAACTGGCGCTGCTTCGGCCCTGAATGTCTGAATAGTCGAGGATGTGGGTGCTTTGATTGTGTCAATACATGGGACGAATTGGTTGAAATCAGACACAAAAAGAGAGAAAGAGAGAGAGAGAGAGTCTCGCTAGGCATGAATCCTTTGCAAAAAACATTCAGAGTAGTCTTCAAAACAATCATAGCAGCATACCTGTAGTGCAATCTGTCCATGCGTTTCCAAGCACAGCGTGCCTGAGTGAAGCCAAGGAATGGCTACGGCCAAATTCACTGCAACAACACCAGACAGCCCGCAGCGAGCGTTGGATCAACAGATTGAGGGCCCGCCCGGTGCAGCACGGGCCTTTCTAGCGTGGCACAACGTCACCCCCAAAAGAAATCCATCACCTGGAACTGCCAAAAAGGGGCGAGTCACCGGCCCGCACCCATCCTATTTGGCACATCTGCTAAACAGGCTTTTCATATCCAGAGATGGAGGGCCAGGACTGCACAATCTGCCGCAAGCCTTCCGATGCCATTGAGGCTCCAGCGACACATGGGATATCAGCCCACGTTTCCAGTAGCCATTTCCTCAAAGAAACCTAAATTGAAGAGCCTCACACCAGCTGTAGCCTTACACACTTCAAGCCAAGTCTCTGCCACACTCGCCGAGCGGATCTGCAGTTTACGCAAAGGAATGCCTTTTGTTTGTTGGTTGATCTCAAAGGGGAGCCTTCCCAAAACAGCTTGCATCCCAACGAGCAACTGCAAAAGTGCTCATGCTTGCCCAAATACAAGTAAGAAGTTTGAACTCTTTCCTATGCTGGTGGTTCATTGTGTGGAAAAGGGGATGGTTGAGAGGGAAACGGAAAAGGAAATCAACAAAAACATATTTTGCGGGTTCCCCAGGTCGAGATCTGCCTTCCACGGCCAATGTCGCAGCCCAATCACGAGCCGCATGCCTCCCTTCCGATCGAAGCCGCGCCGGGTGATGAAGCACCTTGCTCCCCCCAGTGACCCCTTCGGAAAAGAGAACCCATTTTGGAGTGGATAACTCTGGGCGTGTGTCTTGTGGGAATGCACCAAACAAAAGGGAGTTCGAGGGTATGACTGGGCGACTGGATACACTACACATGCGCATGTCTGGGGGGACAACAACAAAGCAAGCCTTCCTTCATGATTTGAAAGGGCAACACAAAGTAGTCCCAAAAAACCACGGAGGTCCCCAACTTGACAAGATTTTCCGGAGCAAAGGTGCACACACATTCGCCTGAAGCTTGCGGGCGGCTTCCCCAATCGCCGAATCCAAGTGAGGCTGACCAAGCAATGCCCTGAAATCCGAAGAATGTGTCTGGGTGGATAAAGGTGGGTAAACAGGGCGAGGGAACGCACCTTGGGAAGAGGACGCGTGGGAACCACTAAGTCACTAAGAGGGGAACCAGGATTTTTACCACCTGGTTGGTTGATAAGGGGAAGGGGCGGGTCAATTTAAGAGAGGATCCGCATCACCTATGAAGGAACATACCCCAAATAACATGCCGGGTTGGTCATGTTTGTCAATCCGGGGTCGACATTTCGGGCTGCGCGAACCTTTGGTCGCCCTGTTGGCAAATGACCCCTTTTTGGCAGACGCAAAGGGCGCAACAGCCTTGGCGACCCGGCCCACTCCGGATGCTGCTTGTACAGCTCGCTATCCTGATAGCAGGCCGTTCTTTAGGCATCTCTCAAATAGAAACTCAGCTTGCAGGATTGCCAAGGGGTGCTGTTTCAACGTGCATTGGATTCAATTACCCTGTCCTGGAGGGACATTCCAATTCCTGGCTCGTTGTTGGGTGCTCATGTGCGTTAAAAAAAATAGCTGTCACTTTAGTGAGAGTCCCACATCGTGTTTCGTGCTCTGAGAAAGCTTGGATGTTCCATTTCATCAATTCTGTGCGTTACCTCCGACCCTGCCTTTACGAGCGTCACACGTTCGATAGGATAGGCTAGGATAGATATATGCGGTATTTCGGGATGCCTCGGCAAGTATATACATGTTGAGTTGCTGCCACAGTCGATTCAGATTCTGGACATCAGTATGTTAGGTGTCCTAACGTAAGAGTTGTGACGTCTTTCTTTTCCGTGGAGCGCCAACCCAAGTGGAGGCTGTGTTCCAATTTCGGGTGACCGACACCTTCTGTCGGTCGACCGCAAAAAGTGCGCTCCAGGACACCTCAAGCGGCGGCGCGGAGCCGTTTCTTTGTACCACCCCATCGAAAGGTAGAAAGTTAAAAATGGCTCCATGACCCCATTATTTTGGTCATTGACCCCATTTGTTGAGGGTCATGGAGACTCCAGGCAGAGGCAAACCGCTGAGTGGTTTGACCATCGGCTAGAGCCTCGCGGACCCAATAGATCCAACTCAGACATTCCCTGGGGTCAGCCCATGACTAGTGGAACATCAGGTGGGGTCAAGTTCAGCAGGACCCCAAATCTGTTGACTCTGGGCTTTTCATAAGGCTCCATTCAATTGTTCTGGGCCTCGCTCGCAGATTCTGGCCTCGCTCGCTCCAAGCTCCACCGGGTTTCTCGCCTCTCACAGGTCCGGGTCACCAAAGCAGTCGAGTCCCGTGCGAGCCCCGCGTCCCGAGCCCCGAGTCCCGAGCCCCGAGTCCCGTCCTGGTTCACCATCTCCGGCTCCACCCAAAGGCCCAGCTTGAGGCCCATGGAGTTGAGATCCTGAGCACGGCATCCAGTTGAGCGGGTCACTCAGCTTGCCACGTGCGGGTCAAAACCGCTTTGGTGGATCCCATTTTGGGGGTTAGAACCTGTTTTAGTGGGGATTGGGATGTTCACGTCCTGTTAGGGGAAATAGATGGGTTTCCCTGGTAGATGGGTTTCCCTGGTAGATGATTAAACCACCAGGTAAACCAGGGCCATCTATTTTTAGAGCAAAACGACCAAAAAGGACACCTATAGGCACTCAGCTGGCCAAATGGGAGGCGTTCGAAACTATCCTATGGAAATGCCATTTGGACAACAACGCAGCCCAAAGAGCTCAACAGAGCGGGAACGAGCACAGGCCAAGTTTGAGGTCGACGTCTTGGCATACTATTTTGATGCCCTCGCAAAATCCCACCTTGCACCGAGAAAGCGCTTGGTGTCGCAGAAGAGGCCCAAGAAGGGCCAGGAACAAGAACCGCAAGACCCCACCGAATCACTGAGGGACCCTTTTCCAGAAGCGCGGTCATACACCAATGTGGCGTAAGATCTGAGCCAGAAAAAAAAAAAACACGAATCTACGCAGCTGGTCGCGCAGGTAGGGAACAATCCGACAACCTTACAAGACCAGAGGCTATGGCAAACCACAGAAAAATCAGGATCTCTTGGCTTGAGGCCTTAATGCCCAGGTTGCAAGTTGCTTGGGCCAAAGGCGACAAGTCATTCGGATGCTCAGACTTTGGCAGAACCTCCTAAGGTGACTCACAACCAAACAGCGCCCAGTATTGACACACCCAAACACATGTAAATAATTTGGGGGTTGCCGCACCAAGCAAGTGCAATTACATGTTCCTCGAAGGCCCTGGTTGGCAAGGGCCTGATCGCCTGGTTGACCCCCTTTTGGTCAAAAGCATTCACTCCACCAAGGATTTCCAGGGCAAAAGGGTGGTATCCTCTACCCCTGCGCCTTTTCCCCTTGGCAAGGTCATCGGAGAGAACTTTACCCGGTTAACCCCCTGAGGTCAGAAAACCACCAAACACAGGTGAACCGAACCACACAAAAAACAATGCTTAAAAAGCATGGTACCCAGCGCTTTAGAGGGTAACGAGGGAAAACCATGATGCAACATCTAGAGGCTGTAGGAAAGGAGAAAACCAGGCTAAGTCCTACAAAAACAACAATTGCATTTGCAAACATTGTTTCTCTAGATGCTGGTTGTTTCTTTTTGTCGTGTCTTGGTCACCCCCTTGAGAAAACAATCATGAAAACCTGGAAAAAAAAGGAAAAAGAACAACCGAAGGGTTCTCAATCATCTCATTGATGCAACATCTAGAGGCTGTAGGAACGGAGAAAACCAGGCTACGTCCTACAAAAACAACAATTGTATTTGCAAACATATTTTTTCTAGATGCTTGTTGTTTCTTTTTGTCGTGTCTTGGTCACCCCCTTGAGAAAACCATCATGAAAACCTGAAAAAAGAAGAAGAAGAAAAAAACGAAGGGTTCTCCATCATCTCATTGATGCAACATCTAGAGGCTGTAGGAACGGAGAAACATCATGACAGCCTGAAAAAAACCCGAAGGGTTATCAATTATCTCATTCATCGCCTTACGGACCCCGCCTTCGCCAGGCCCTCGAGGCCTCGGCTTGAGGCTTGAGTAAGAGGCCTGGGTGTAAGGACATGAAGGAACGGGTGTTGCGAACTTGTGGGTTGATACGCTAAGGAAAGGGTGTTGCGAACCTTTGGGTTGAAAATGGGATATTCTTGCCCAAATGTTGGATGGCAAATGAAATGTTTCAACCTTGGAAAGGCTCTCCCCCTTTGGTTCCGAGGGGGAAGAAAGGGAACCGGCGATCCCAAACTAGTGAGACACCCACGAAAGAAGTTGAAGGTTTACGTGCTATCCAAAGGGGTTGCGACT